CGCCCTCCCCCGCGGAACGGCTGTCGACCTTTTCCACAGCTCCTTACATTTAAAGGCTCCGGTGGCCCTCGGCTCTCCGAATTGCTGCTTCATTTTGCTTTCCAGATTGGCATGAGTCTCTCGTGACTCCACCAACGGCGAGCTCTCGCTCTCTGCCATCCATAGGTTCCCGGGGGCACCTGTTTGCAGAGCTCTTGGCTCGCGGCCCCTTGGAAACAACTTAAGAGCGGCACCATTCTGTAACGGGAGCCAGGGAGCTAAGCGGCGCTTGCTTTATTTCGCTCCAAGAGACAAGCGCAGGAGGGAGATGCGTGTGCCTTAGCCCTTAGGCAGCCAACACGAGCCCGCCGGGATGCCAGGCGAGGAGCGAGGAATACAGTATTTTTACGAAAGCTCTGAAATAAGCAAGGCTAGGTCTTGAAGGAGAAAACTCCCCTTTTAATTAGTGCTAGCAGCAGATGGTTCGACTCATCCGTCAAGAAAGTTCTTCTTATAAAAGTGGACACCAGGCTTCAGGCTCGTCTGTCCTGCACACCAGTTTTCACACTCTGCTCTCGTAATTCCGCAGCACGCACAGAGAGATTTCCCCCTAAAACAGAGGCAAAACTGTTTTAAGCAATTTCCACGGGAGTGAGTGACTTTTAAAAATCTCCATACCGTAAACTCCCATTTACACGGTCTCTAATGCGGGGCAGTCTGCTATGTTTTTAATCCGAATTCATTAACTAAACTTAAATTAGGTTCCCTACTGCACTTTGTTGGCTGGCTAAACTCAGAATTAGTTACGCAGAAGCCTAGACTTTAGGGCTCGTGCAGAAGCGATCTGCATCAAGCGTGGCTGCTGGTTGTCTCCCGCGAGCACTCTTGGGTCCTCTTTTTTTTTTTTAAAAAAAAACATCTCCTCCCCAGGCCTGGTTTTTGGTCTCTACCATTTGGAGAGCCTTCAAAGCAATTGTTTAAGCAGGGGGAAAGGACACTAGTGGAAGAGAAAACTGCAGTTCCTAGCCCCGGCCGTTCTTTTACACCCTGGCATGGGTGACTGGATATTTAATTCTATTCTGCCTTGCGGTCCCATGTGGAGTTATGGCAGAGGGGAACAGTATGGTGTGAGCTGACATAATTGAGTCATTAGACCCAGGAAATACCTGAGGTTCCCAGTTGGACTCTGAGAAATCCAGACTCCTCAATGGTTGCACCAAGCTGATCTCCATCCTGGAGTAAAGGGGTTGCGTTGAATTAAATATTACAGTGTATTTAGGCTGCAAACTCTTTGGGTGCAGGGACTATTTTTCTGTTCTGTTTGTACAGCACCTAGCACAAATGGGGTCCTGGTCCATGACTGGGGCTCCTAGGTGCTTTGGGAATATAAATAATAAATAATATTAATGAACATGGCAGGAGCCCAATCAATAAGGTGACTCAACCCAGACTGGAATTATAGCACTTCCATACTGGCCTCCCTTTGCGAGATGTAGCCTAGCCACCAATGCACAGTGTTGTACCAAGAGAATAATCTAACCACAGTGAAAAGACCCATCCACACACTGGGTGTTTCATGGGACCAGGTGCAACTACCTGCCTCTACTTCCTTAAATGAAGTTATTTCATTATACCACATCCCTGGAGTTACTAGATGGGTTTACAAAACCTTTCTAATAAGGAAGCCAGGAGAGAACTAAAGACAACAGCAGCATCAGATATCAGAGCCCGATGAAACAAAGCGCTGGATGTGGCCTCTCTTGGCTTACTGAGAGTTCAGTCAGAGTGATCCCTTTGTTCTTGGACAACAGGAAAATAGGAACGTCAACAAAACCAAAACTCTGCTGCAGATAAACACTCTGCCAGGCAGAAGCCAACCTGGCAGCTCCTCCTCCCCATCCGCAGCTGTGTCTATGAGCCACTCTCTGGCCTCCTAGGGCTGATCAAAGAGGTGGAAATGCACGCATGCAAAGATGCACTCCTTCAAGCAGAAAGTGGCTGGGAAGCCCAAAGGTTGAATACTTTCTCAAAAATAAAAACCAAAAATGCCTTCATCCCTGCAGAGAAGAAGCAGAGCAGTGCATTGCAAGGAAAAGGACTTAGGTATTCAAAGAGACAAAGCACTTGATTGTTCTCAGAGAGGAAAAGAATTGAGGGAAAATGTGATGATTTGGAGACCAGGTCATGGTGGAGCAACATCTGTATATAAGGCACGCCTGTATCTACTGAATTCTGGGAAGAGGTGGAAAACAAAATATGTTCAGCTTCATTCACTCTTGCTGAAAAGATCCTAGGCCTACCATCAATTGTGGACCAAACATAGAAAGGTCCTACCTAGACTTGACTAGAAGTTTTTGTTTTTTTTAAAGTGTTAGGTAACACTTTTTAAAATAAGATATTTTAGATATTACTTAGCAGCTATGTAGGCAGAGTTAAACTTCTTTATAGACATGTTAGCTGGTCATGATCAAACACCTTTTAAACTTAGTGTAGACACAGCCAAAGAGTGCAATGAGCACTCATTCAATAACTCTCTCTGCCAAATCAAACTGCACGTTTAACATTTCTCAAGCAAACTGTCCTTAGCATTTCTCTCAAATATTTACACGTTGTTTAGACAGTTAAAATTTATGCTTAACAAATATTGAGTAAATGCATTTTACAGTTATTTTTATAATGCTTCAGAAAATCTCTCTTTAGCTCGAAGGGTGACAGCCCCCTCATTCTTGTCTTGCGGTTTGGGTGGCATTTGCTACACTTTCTATGTTTGGTGATAGAGGATTTTTATGACCAGGATAGTTTGTTGGGGGGGTTATCATACAACCCCTCCCCTCCCTTGTATTAGCACTTCTAGACATCTCCATGTGAAGCTAGACAGCTTGGAGGAAAGGACTGGTGGCAAGAAAAACATTTATAGACCATAATTACTCCACTGAGGTTCAAAAGCTCTAGACCCCCCCTTTGGTTTCATAAGGCTGCAGCTGTATGAGAGAGACATTAAATGTGCTAACTATACCCAGCATGGCCATCCCCTTTTCCACACTCTGGGACAAAACTCTTGCCTGACTTACTATCTAGTCAGCTTTAGCCACACCAGGGAGATTGGGAGTCCCATTCTCCATCTGAGAGAGAAAACCTGATTGAAAAAGAAACACATCAGGATGGCGGCATGGAGACTTGGTGCCATTGGAGGGACAGACAGACATTATCTGCCTCAGAGGATGGCCTTAACATCATGCTCCACCTTGTCCTTATTCAGACCCCTAAGGTAACCAAAACAGGAAAGCAAACCACTAAGGCCCCATCTACCACCCAGCTATTACCAAGCCAGGGGATCCATTACAACCCAGTTATCACAGGAGATTAGATTCAGAAAGGGTTTGATATCAGCTTTGTTTCCTTCAGGGCTGCTCTGTCTTGCTCTGCTTTTCATAGCCTCTAATAGCCTGTGGGGAGCAGAGAATAGCTGGAACACAATGTTCTCTAGCCATGTCTCCTCCCGCCCCCCCAGATCCTCTTCCACATACCTTATGTCGGCTAGGGAGGCCCTCTGCTTTCTGATATTCCCATGGGACCATCTGCATTAACTTTCTGCTCCTGCAGTGCACAAGAGGCAGATTGTTACAAAAAATCAGGCCCTACATCTTTTTTCCCCTTTTGTACACAACTGTTTTTCCCAGATTAGAGCACTCCCTCATCTCCAGAGCAGACCTACTAAACACTCAAGTATGTAAATTCTTCATTTCACAGATTGATAGATTCCAAGGCGTGTTGTAGAACTGCTCAGTTTTGGCTCTGCTGTCCTCCATCATGATGGAGGGTCTGTGGGGCTACAATTGAGTGGCATTGGGATCTAGTGCACAGGGGAGTTGGGGGATTGCAGCATTGCTAAATGATGGGGGAGTGAGACAGGACCAAAACTGAGTAGTGCTATGACCTCCCCCCCATGCCAGATTGCAACACCACTCTTTCAATTTTGACCCCACCGCCCCTCCGTCATGATGAAGAGGCCACAGGACCAAATGTGAGAGGTGTTGTGACCCTCATATGCGACACGGTGACTGCAACCCACCCATGTGCCAACACAGCAACTCCCCACACCCACTTTGTGCACAAGTCACAATGGCACTTGTTAATTTTGGCCCTGCCACCCTCCCATCACGATGGAGGGGCCAAAGCTGGGTGGGCTTTGAGGATCTTACTTCTGGGGAAGTTACTCCTGAAAATGAGACTTTGGCTCCTAAGTCAGTTAGACCTCATAATGCTGAGTGAAGCAACGCCTAAATACCTTTAAAACTCTGGGCCTTCAACTATCTCATTGAGAAGATAATACAATCTTTCTTGCAATCTAATATCAGGTGAGATGTAACAACATTAAGCCTGTGGGAAATGTTAAGCAATCCTCAGTGGCGGAATAATTGGCTTTACGTCGGAAAAGAAAAAAAAAACAGAGTTAAAGCCATCCAACCTGAACACTTAAATATTGTACAAAGAGAGTCACTCAGTACACAATAGAAATAACCGAGTAACACATTGCATGAAAATTGGAATGATAGCACACATATTCAAAATATAAAATTCCCAGCCTATGCCTTGTCTGTACTATAGTGTAGTTGCACCGATCCCAACCCCTAAACACAGGCAAGGACGTGCCTGAAGCAGGGGTAAACCCTAGTGCAAACCTCAGCTGGTGCAAACCTCAGTTTGCCTTTATTGACAATTAGGGGTCAGAAGTAGTGCAGCTACACTGGCTACTGACTGGTAAATCAAGGCTATTCCCGAGTGTACACACAGATCTAGTGATGCCATTGAAACCACCAGGTATAAATACACCTATATTAGTGTAGTTTATTTTCACAAATTTACTAAACCATTCCCCTCTTAGTTTTATTTATGGAGTGGAAGGGTCTTACTGAAATTAAAGCATGGGTTGTCTTCTTGCCCTAGCTGAGTGCCTGTTTTATTTAGTGAGATACCTGCCATGAAGGGAAAGAGTTGCTTATGCATCTTTTTCTTCATAGGTTCCACTTTCACAATTTCTTGTCCCTGAAGCTTTGTACAATTGATGCCCCTGAGGTGCCAGATCCATATAACAGAGAGGATGAAAGGCATCCATAACTGTCAAAGGTGAGAGCATCCCATTTATTGCTACTTGCTAAAAGGCTGGATTGCGTATGAATCATTAAGGATGAACGCATTGGAGAACCAGTAGTCCATGAGAAGAACCTGTAGAGAAGATAATCTACCAAGGGTAATGATACAGAGGTAATGTAATGATATGTAAAGGGAAGACATATTCTTATGGAAAAGTCCTCTTGAATTTAATAATTTTATAGTTTTTTGGGAACATTTGTGGACTTGAATATAGAATAATATTCCTGTTATAGAATTCTATGGGATGATTTAAAAAAACGTATTAAAAGGATTCATTTTTCTATTAGCTTTTTGGAGTAATTTTTGTAAAATCCTATCACATCTCTACAGAACCTTATCGGTTTTATCCCTATTACATTGTATGATACTTTTCTTTGAGGGTATACATGATTGAATGAGCTATACAGGAGCACAAGCTTATTCGCTGTGTGAGATATACATGACTAAATGAGATATCCACAGCAACACATAATAAAACGAGAAATACATGAATGATTGAGATGTAAGTGGAATGGACACATACATGAATGTACCCATTCCTCCACTTCTGCTGATTTTATTTTATAGAGCATCAGTACAAAATAGATACTAAAATAACCATACCACTAACTGCAACCAAAAGGGATCTTTTTTGGTGAAGAAAACTCTCTGTGAATTAAACATCATATTAGTTACATTCAAATCAAAATGGTTTGTAACCCTGAGCTATATTTAAACTCTGATTTGTGTTTACACAGGTCAACATGGACCATGACAAAAGACCAGTAGAATTTCCAGTTTTAGTGTGATATGTTCGAAACGTAAGTAAGTGAAAGAAAATCTCCTTCCTCCCTTATGTAAGCAATGAACTGATCACAGATCATTTTCTGAGCCAGTGCTGAGCTGGTGCCAGTGCTCCTCTCATGACAAAAAATCTCTTAAGAGTGTGACATTAGAGCCTCCATCTCCTGGACTAGCATTGACTTAGGTATATTTCTAGAGAAAGTATTTTTGAACACTGGAAGGACCGTGCTGAAAGTCACTAATACCTGCTTATACACACCCCAATCCTTCCAGAGCAACATTTATTGTATTTTCATTGGATGAATGAGGTATATTTTCATCTCAATGCACAGCAAGCTGTGTGTATAAGTCTCAGGGTAGAATATGACCCCACAGTTCTGTAGCAATTCTCTTTCTCCTACTCTAAAAGTCTCAGGATTTGATTATGATTTCACACCAGTTTAAACACTGCTGTACTTCCATTAGCTTCAATTGAATTACTCCTGATTGACTCCAGTGTGAGATCAGAATGAGCTCCTCAAGCTTTACAAAAAGGCCAGTATTATTCCCATCTCTTAAGAGGATTTCTCTAAAGAGAAAATAGGTATTTATCATCAAAACCAAAAGTATATGTACACTGTAAAATAAAAGGGTACTTAACTAATTGATATAACTGGTACATAGGAGAAGGGGACAGAGCTATTCAAAGCCTGCAAAGGGAGGATGAAAAACTTGAACTTCACAAGGAAGACAAGGGGAAGCCATTGTAGAGATTTCCAGAGGGGAGTGACATGGAGTCTGATTCTCCATTGCTCTTCACCTTGTACAAGAGTTCATGTTAGTGCACAGTGAGTGCAAAACATCACCACCAATGCAGAATGGTAACATTTCACAGGCACTTTGCACTGGTGTAGATTACTGTGCAAGGTGCAGGGCCAGGGAGAATCAGGCCCTATGTTCTAAGTAGTGGGAGAGGAAGATGATCTTAACAGAAGCAATTTGAGAAGCAAAGAGGCCAGAAAGGAGGAGGTTGCTGTAGTCAAAGGGTAAGATTCCCAAGGTTTAGACAAGGAGCTTAGTGGATGGGATGGAGAGGAAAGGACACATTTTAGAGATATTGTCAAAGAAGAAGCAGCAGGATTTAGTGAGAATCTGGCTATGGGTTGAGAAGAAGAGAGAAGAATTGATGACAAGCTTACATGACTGCAAGATGAAGAGGACAGTGGAAAGGGATTGGGAAAAAAGATGAGAAGTTCTGTTTTCCACCATGTTGAGCTTGAAATGGTGGTAGGTTATTAAAATGATGTCAGAGACAACTGAAATGAAGAGACAGGACCGAGGGAGACAGGCTGGATTCGAGAGGAAGGTTGGGTATAGGGGAGTAGAACTGGGAGAGGAGACAGTAAAATACAACTCTAGAGCAGTGGTTCTCAACCTTTCCAGACTACTGTACCCCTTTCAGGAGGCTGGTTTGTCTTGAGTAACCCCAAGTTTCACCCATAGGCAGTGGGTATCATAGGCTGTGCCTTCCCAAACAGCCTAGTGTAGCCCTGCCCATGCTCCGCCCCCAGGCTAGGCCCCCTCCTGCAGTTCCCAGTGCTCTGCCTTGGCTGGCCCAGGCCGGCTGCCCTGCCTCCCACAGGGAGTCAGGGGCTGGTGCTGGGGCCTCGCCACCTGGAGCACTGGGGTTTGCCACCCCACCTGGCTACCCGGAGCACCAGGACCGGGAGTGCCGCCATCTGGAGCACCAGGGCTGGCTGCACCGCCCAGAGCACCGGGGCTGGGGCATCGCCCCCTGGCCACCCAGTGCTGGGGCCGTGGTGGGAGTGCTCTGAGCTCCTGTGGGGGAGGGAGGGCAGCAGGGGGGGCAAAAGGGGAGAGGAGGGGCCTTGGCACAAGTGGTGGGGCTGGGAGCTAGCCTCCCCCAATGGCTGGGTCACCAGTCGCCCACGGTTTCACCTCCCTTAAAAACTACTCACTTACAAAATCAAACATACAAATACAAGTGCCACTGCGCACTGTTACTGAAAAAATGCTTACTTTCTCACTTTTACCATATAATTAAAAAAAAATCGTGACCCCCCCCTCCAGGTTGAGAAACACTTATATAGTATATAGAGCAGTATAAACAAGTGATTGCATGAAATTTTAGTTTGTACTGACTTCTCCAGTGCTTTTCATGTAGCCTGTTGTAAAACTAGGCAAATATCTAGTTGAGTTGATATACTTCTGCTTGAGAACCACTGCTCTAGAGATCTGACTCTCTGAATGACTGACAAACTGTCTGAGTGACAAAATATAACGAGCTGCTCTGAGTGAAACAGTAGTGACAAACTGGATTATGTTCAGAGATTTAGCATGAAATGACCGGTTATATCTAACTGTTTTGACAATTATTTCAAGTTCTTTGTCCTTTCCAGTGTTAATCTTTGTCTTTCCTCTTTGAACAATTTTTAAAATGACAGCTATTGTCTTCAAAACCAGCCAGTGGCACAGTTTATAGTACATTGCCTCGCCACATGGAAAACATGGGCTTGAGAGAAAAGCAAGATAGGAGTAATATTTTGGACTGCTCTTTCTCACCCTCTAGTGGGCTGTGAGGGTGGTATGTTCATTGTTTCAGTCACATGGCTAAGTGCCACTCCCTGGCAGATCAGGTGCAGTTAACATTTGAAATACCTGGAGCCTGATTTTCATTTACATCACTGAGGCAGTGCAACACTTAATTTAAGGGTCCTTTGCACCACCCAGGATAAGGAAGGATGGTCATGTGGTTAGAACACTAGCCAAGGATGTGGTAGATGTGGTTCAGTTCTCAGCTTTGCCAGACTTCCTGCATGACCTTGGGCAAGTCACTTAGCCCCTTTGTGCTTCAATTCCCCAACTGTACAATGGAGATAATAATAGCACCTCCCTACCTCACAAGGGTGTTGTGAGGATAAATACATTAGAGCTAGTGAGGGACTGAGCTATTTCTATTTGGAATGAGGGCCATGAGAGTCAGGTTCTCGGTTGTAGCTCTTCGGGGCAGGGACCATCCTGTTTGTTACATGTTTGTACAGTGCCTAGTGCAATGCACCTGGAGCCCCTGGGTGCTGTGGCAATGCAGCAAACAATAAGTAGGGTGGATATATAGATCAAATGGAAACCCCAAGTACACCGAGAGATGAAAATCTTATGAGCAGCAGCTCAGACTGGCTCACTTCCATAGGTGGAAAGAGCCTCTTAGGCATATGCCCTAGTTGGAAGTGAGTAGAAGGGAACAGGTAAGATACACACTTGGAACCTGATTCTTTATCCAGGTTCTAGCTGCTTGGCACTGCACCAGCAGCATAAAGGAACCCTAAGGATGATGTAGCCAGCATTGGAAGGATCATCCCAGTGTGCGGAAATCCTCCTGTGCTGTGGTGACTCCCATTCCATCCACGCCCCTGAAGCCAGAGGCAAAGGTGCGTGGCTGGGGCTTCCCTGCACTTTGGTGAATCCTTGGTGCCATAACAGACCCTTAGGGCCACTGGCAGCCAAAGTAATTCACAGCAGCATTTGGGCTATTCTAACATATTCCAGGGGACCATCCACGCATGCAGCTAGCCCAGAATCAGGGAAACACAAAGGTAAGCCTCCTTTGGACCACAGCCTGGTGGCTCCTGAGCTACAGCTGAGCATCTGGGCCTTGAAGTCAGCTGACCTCCTGTGGCAGAAATTGATAAACAAAACCACCATTTTTCTTTAGTACTAACAAGCTTTCCCTGTTTGAATTTGTTTAAGGCAAGGATAAGTAACAGTCATCAGACGTGAAACTCAACATGGCACAGGGCCAGCTACAAAACAACTCTTTGAAGAACAGTTCGATCCCTGTGTTCACTGGCCTTGACCTCCTCTTTGACCTGAAGCCCCTCTTCATTCCCCTCTATGCCACTCTGGTGGCTGTGGCTTGCATCGGCAACTTGCTCCTTATTCTCCTTATTGTTGTCACCAAAAAACTGCACAGCACCACTAACTTCCTTATTGGAAACTTGGCTGCAGCTGACTTGATCATGTGCATTTTCTGCGTCCCACTTACTGCATCCTATGCCTTTGAGATCCGGGGCTGGCTCTTTGGGATGTTCATGTGTTACTTTGTCACGTTGATGCAGACTGCTACTGTATTTGTGTCTGTGCTGTCCCTCACAGCTATTGCAGTGGACCGATATATTGTTGTTGCTTACCCCATTCGCAAAAGGCTAAGCCGCAAGTCCTGTGTCTACATAGTGGCCTTCATTTGGTTACTCTCCATTGTGGTTTCTGTGCCTACATCCATGCACACCCATTATCTAGATCTCAACAAGATTGGCCACGACATGTTCATCTGTGAAGAATTCTGGAAGCACCAAGAGAAAGAGAGGCTGCTGTACTCATGCTCAATGCTCCTTTTGTCCTACATGCTCCCACTTTCTGCAGTCTCTATCTCCTACTGTGCCATTTCTTATCGCCTCAGGAAGAGGAATGTCCCAGGGGCTGCTTACCACAACCAAGAGAAACGGACCAATAAAAAACGAAAGACCTTCCGGGTTCTCATTATTTCAGTCATGTGCTTTGCTGTCTGCTGGCTACCTCTGCAGGTGGTGAACCTCATCAGAGATGTAGATGAAGAGTTCATCATCTTAGACAAGAGGTACGTGAATGTCATTCAAGTGTCATGTCACTTGATCGCCATGAGCTCTGCCTGTTATAACCCTTTCATCTATGCCTCCCTCCATGACAAATTCCGATTTCATGTTAGTAACTATTTTTGCCATCACAAAAAGAGGTCCAGCATCATGTCCCGCAAGGCCTCACGACTCAATACCTGCTCCACGCTGGCAGACATTCCCATGGGCATCACCGATAAGTTAACCCTGCAAGGCAGGTTTTCTTTTAACTAAAATACAACAGGAGATCAAATCAGCAGAGGTGGCATACACCTTAATTCTGTGTTTGTTATATTGCACACCAAAGCCTGTGGTGCAAGTTATGTTACACTGGTAATTGGTCATTTCAAGACAATGTAGATATCTGAGAACTTGGCAGTAGTGCAAGGGAAACAAACAGATGGGGTTTGTGTCTGAAGGGATAGAAAGAGCTCATTTGAGCAACTGAAGTGTATTCTGCTCTTTGTCAAAACAAGCACATTCAAGAACAAAAATGGCAGTCCTGTAAGTTTAAGTTAATTCTGTACAGTTTTTATTAACATTGTCCTTATTTTGTATAGGGTGATGCTATGGGAATAGCAGGCATTTCCTTTTGACTTAATTCAATTCAAAGCTAAAAAGTCTTTACATATGAAACAGCCATTTGCTCTCTTGTTGTCTCATGTGAAATGGACTGTCTTGGCATATCAATCACTGGCCTATCAGAAGCAAGGCTGATAGATCATGGATGCCATGAGGTGGAAGATTCATTACTTCTGTATTCCAGCAGTTCCAACCACTTATATGGGGTAGCATTACTACTCTGAGGCAAGGCCAAGTCCTCCTTGATAACTTGGATGCCCATGTCATCTTGACTACTTATTGCATGTCTTAAACATCGGCACGGTCACCTCGCTGTCATAGTAGTCTATGCACTGAGAGAGGAATTAGCTGATTTAATTAAAGATCATTTCTATGATCAATTGCAATCTCTAGTATGCATCATCCCTCCACATAATAATCTCGTGTTCCTGGCTGACCCAAATGCACTTACTGGTATTGTGATCTAACTTTATAAGGGCAAGGGACTGCACTGCAAATGTAAGAGCTGCAGGACAATCACCTTGTTGTCCGTGATAGGGATGGTGTTTGCGCATGTTCTCCTGGCACATTTGGAGCCCCTGCTACATTGGAAGCGTGACTCTCAACAGTCAGGATTTACGAGGACTAGGTCCACATTAGATGCCATTTTGGCCCCTCTGCTTGTTGTTCAAGAAGCCCCTCCACGTGGCATATGTCACAAGGCTGTGTTTGACTCAGCCTTAAAGGGCATAGGTGTTCCAACCACTCCGCTGGACTTGATTAGTGAGATGTACAATGGAACCACTGCCCATGTACATCTGGGAAAGCAGATGTTGGCACCTTTTAAATCAATATCTGGTGTCAGGTAGGGCTGCGTCTTGGCCACTGCACACTTTTGTTGGGCAATGGATTTCATAATGCAGCATTCTGTCAGGTCCACAGGCATTAAGATCCATGATCTCTCACTCTCAGACCTTGACTATGCTGCTGACATTCATAGAATCATAGAAGATTAGGGTTGGAAGAGACCTCAGGAGGTCACCTAGTCCAACCCCCTGCTCAAAGCAGGACCAACCCCAACTAAATCATCCCAGCCAGGGCTTTGTCAAGTTGGGCGTTAAAAACCTCTAAGGATGGAGGTTCTACCACCTTCCTAGGTAACTCATTCCAGTGCTTCACCACCCTCCTAGTGAAATAGTTTTTCCTAATATCCAACCTAGACCTCCCCCACTGCAACTTGAGACCACTGTTCCTTGTTCTGTCATCTGGCACCACTGAGAACAGCCTAGCTCCATCCCCTTTGGAACCCTGCTTCAGGTAGTTGAAGGATGCTATCATTGTTCTTCTAGTACAGAGTCCCAACAGGTTTCATGAGGCACTGCAGTAAATGGAGGATTAGTTGGCCAAGGTCGGCCTCCATGTTTTGTGGTCAAAGACATAGCTGCAAAACCTAGGATTAGGTCCACCCACGACTCCAATCTCCTAAAATAATGAAACTCTCAAAGCAGTCTCCAGCTTTTGCTATTTGGGTTCTATACTCAGCAGTTCATCCAACTCTCATACGGAGGTTCTTCCCCTGACTGACTGCAGTGTCTGCCATGGGTCATTTACAACAAATATGGAATCAACATCATCTCAGCATGACAACAGAGTTTAGGATCTATTAGACCTGTGTCCTCACCGTAATGCTGTACGGATATGAAACATGGACACTATGCTGCTCCGACTGGGAAAAGCTGGAGGCTTTCCACACAAAATGCCAACGTCATATATTGGGCATAAAATGGAACAACTTCATTTGTTACGCAGACATTTACAGTTGCTCCTATCTACAGACTATTCAGGCCATTGGCCGCAGCTGACATCTTACGCTTTTCAGACATATTGCCAGAATGCTGCTCTCCATGTGGCTTGTAACATCCGGAATAAAAATTCCACTAACCAAGTGGTGGAAGCAGTCCAGAGGAAGACCTGCTATTACATGGGTCCATTAAGTCTGTTCCAATGTTGGACTTTTGGCCCGTCAAGCCCTTGTGGCCACACAGGAACAGACCAAATGGTAAACAGTCGCTACGGCTGATGTTTGGCTAAGGATTGAAGAAGAAGTTTGGTCTTAGGTGTGTTTCTGGTAGGAGCAAATTCTAAAAGGCAAGAAACTGCCAGTGACAATGCTCTGTTCAACACCTGCAAGCTTCACCCTAGAAAGACTGAGTCTTTTGCATGCAGCTGACAGAGTGGAGTTTAAAAGAAGTGGTACATAGTTGGGACTAGACCAGTAAGGCTTTGTAGACTGTACCCAGCATCTTTAAGTTCACCCAGAAGTGAGTAGGCAGCCACTGCAATGCACAGGGGTAACATGTTCCTGGGGGTCTGTCCTAGTTAGCAGCTGACCCAACCTATAAACAATACACACACAAGATGTGTTTTAAGAAGGCTTACAAGTTTATGGATTCATTTTGCATTACACAGAATTGTTTCTAAGCAACAAATAGTATCTATCTCTTTCTTCTACAAAATATGTTAAAATGCACCACAGAGAATAGTTACATTACTGTATAATGTGCATTTTAAAAAAAAACAACAAAATTGGTTGTTAGTAAAGGGCGTACATTAAGAAATACATTTTCCTTTGTCTGTATGACATTCAAACACCGGAGATGGTACCAGAGAGAGTCAAGACAAGGCTCATTTAGAAAGGCAAGGACTTTCATAGGCTCATGAACTGAAGTTACTTAGCTTTCCAAAAAAGCAGCAGAGTGAAAAACTAAGTGGCTCCTATATTTCCTCCCACATATAAGTGGGATAGCGCACTATATGGATGTTCAGACACTGAAGCAGGTATTGGAGATGGATCTGCTGTCACACTCCCATCTGCACACTTTACCAATACACATGTTTTGCTTGGCTTGCTGTGTGCTCGGCAGGAACGCTTGCCAGATACATTTTTCCTTTGATCCCATTCTCTTCCACATAGTGCTTCTGTCACCACAAGGTAATGCAACACCATCTTTTTTTACCATCTTTACAAATCAAAAATTAACAACATATGGAATTTCCCCCCCTGGTTTTGTTACCTTACACACTGTGGGCTTGTCTACATTACCCACTGGATCGACGGGCAGCGGTCGATCCAGCGGGGGTCGATTGATAAATCAACCACCGAGTGCTCTCCCATCGACTCTGGTACTCCACTGGAGCAAGAGGCGCAGGCGGAGTCGATGAAGGAGCACCTGCTGTCAACCCACCATAGTGAAGACACCGTGGTAAATAGAGCTAAGTATGTCAACTTCAGCTACGTTATATATGTAGCTGAAGTTGCGTAACTTAGATCGATCCCCCCACCCCCGGTGTAGACCAGGCCACAAAAAAAAAAGCAAAGGGATAAAGTTAGATCAGATATCTATGACCTAAAGAATTCAAACAAGGATCGAGAGAAGGACAGCCTTTCACACTCCAGGGAGTTGGGATATCATACAACAATGGTGTGAAGTTAAGAACGAACAGCATAGATTAGCTATCAGGAAAGGAATCTCCTTCTAGAGGGATATTTGAGTGAGGAGGTGTATTCTCTCTCCTAAAATTTATCTCTATGAGATTGAAAGCAGCGTTTGGACTGATGTAGCTGCACCACTGCAGTGCTGCTAATGCAGATGGTCTATGTTGACGGGAGATAATTATTCCACTTCCCCAAATGGCGGTAGCTATGTTGGCAGGAGAGCTTCTCCCACTGACACAGCCCTGTCCACACTGGAGCTTAGATTGGTGTAATTTACATCCTTCGGGGGTGTAGCTTTTCCACACCTCTGAGCGACTTACGTTATACTGAAGTAAGCACTAGTGTGTACACGTCCTACTCACTCTTGCCTCTTCCTCCACATCAGCATTCAGAAAAAGATACAAGGCACAGAATGCAACCAAGACAAAGCATTTCAAAGATTAAGCACTGTCATATGGAAGAGTTAAAGAGAAATATTGCCACCTACCTTAGCAGTGGCCACTCTGGTTTCACCATGGTCCTAGATCAGAGGTCCTTACTAATCATCCTAATCAAAAGTGGAGCAAAATAGGTCTCCTGGGCTTTATGCCCCGCCCTTCCCCCTTTATAACTGTATGTGTGGGGAGAGCAGAAGACGGAGAATACACAGTGGAAAGAAGGGAAAATACAAAAATTGAGAGTGAGGATGAGTTCCTCAATTACAGCCCAGGCTGCATTTTACCCCACTCAGTTTTGCAACCCTCTTTGTCTTAATCTATGTTAAAATTAGGCCCACACTGATACTACTGGTGGACGAGGCTTTCTTCCGGCAACTCGCAGAAGCTACTAGATCGCACGCCCTGGTTCTCATGGGCGACCTGATATCTGCTGGGAGAGCAATACAGCGGTGCACAGACAATCCAGGAAGTTTTTGGAAAGTGTAGGGGACAATTTCCTGGTGCAAGTGCTGGAGGTACCGACTAGGGGCGGACCTCTTCTTGACCTGCTGCTCACAAACCGGGAAGAATTAGTAGGGGAAGCAAAAGTGGATGGGAACCTGGGAGGCAGTGACCATGAGATGTCGCGTTCAGGATCCTGACACAAAGAAGAAAGGAAAGCAGCAGAATACGGACCCTGGACTTCAGAAAAGCAGACTTTGACTCCCTCCGGGAACTGATGGGCAGGATCCCCTGGGAGAATAACATGAGGGGGAAAGGAGTCCAGGAGAGCTGGCTGTATTTTAAAGAATCCTTATTGTGGTTACAGGGACAAACCATCCCGATGTGTAGAAAGAATAGTAAATATGGCAGGCGACCAGCTAGGCTTAACAGTGAAATCCTTGCTGATCTTAAACCCAAAAACGAAGCTTACAAGAAGTGGAAGATTGGACAAATGACCAGGGATGAGTATATAAATATTGCTCGGGCATGTAGGAATGAAATCAGGAAGGCTAAATCACACCTGGAGTTGCAGCTAGCGAGGGATGTTAAGAGTAACAGGAAGGGTTTCTTCAGGTATGTTGGCAACAAGAAGAAAGCCAAGGAAAGTGTGGGCTTACTGAATGAGGGAGGCAACCTAGTGACAGAGGATATGGAAAAAGCTAATGTACTCAATGCTTTTTTTGCTTCTGTTTTCACGAACAAGGTCAGCTCCCAGACTACTGCACTGGGCAGCACAGCATGGGGAGGGGGTGGCCAGCCCTCTGTGAAGGAAGAAGTGGTTCGGGACTATTTAGAAAAACTGGACATGCACAAGTCCATGGGGCCGGATGCGTTGCATCCGAGAGTGCTAAAGGAATTGATGGATGTGATTGCAGAGCCATTGGCTGTTATCTTTGAAAACTCCTGGCGATCGGGGGAAGTCCCGGAAGACTGGAAAAAGGCTAATGTAGTGCCAATCTTTAAAAAAGGGAAGAAGGAGGATTCTGGGAACTACAGGCCGGTCAGCCTCACCTCAGTCCCTGGAAAAATCATGGAGCATGTCCTCAAGGAATCAATTCTGAAGCACTTAGACGAGACGAAAGTGATCAGGAACAGTCAGCATGGATTCACCAAGGGCAAGTCATGCCTGACTAATCTAATTACCTTCTATGATGAGATAACTTGTTCTGTGGATGAAGGGAAAGCAGTGGACGTGTTATTCCTCGACTTTAGCAAAGCTTTTGACACGGTCTCCCACAGTATTCTTGTCAGCAAGTTAAAGAAGTATGGGCTGGATGGATGTACTACAAGGTGGGTAGAAAGTTGGCTAGATTGTCGGGCTCAACGGGTAGTGATCAATGGCTCCATGTCTAGTTGGCAGCCAGTGTCAAGTGGAGTGCCCCAAGGGTCGGTCCTGGGGCCAGTTTTGTTCAATATCTTCATAAATGATCTGGAGGATGGTGTGGATTGCACCCTCAGCAAGTTTGCAGATGACACTAAACTGGGAGGAGTGGTAGATACGCTAGAGGGTAGGGATAGGATACAGAGGGACCTAGACAAATTGGAGGATTGGGCCAAAAGAAATCTGATGAGGTTCAACAAGGACAA